TGTGTGTGTGTGTGTGTGTGTGTGTGTGTGTGTGTGTGTGTGTGTGTGTTATTACTCATGTTTTGAGGACCAAAGTCCGTTTACACAGTTGCATTATGGGGACTTGTCATGCATGCACATGCCAGCAGTCACTCTCACACACACACCAGATAAGCACAGAGATTGAGTTTGGGTTAGTGGGGGCGATGAAGCCCCTCGGGCCTCGACACTCTTTTCATTCCACCAATCTGTGTTCTGTGTAATTATCATAATTCCATATGTTAGGGAGATATGTTAAACAGCAGGCCTTTCATAGCTCTGCTCTAAATATAGTCCCCGCAAAAAAAAACAGCCAGGGATTGAATGCTTACATAAAAAAGCAATTACAGTAATATCCCAATATATATGTACAGTATATGGAAATTTGTTATAATGGAATCATAGCATAATGTGAAAAACAATGATTTATTTATATTTAATAAGAACTGTAAAGGCTCCTGCAGGCTTCCTCTTTCTCTTGAGTACAAAGGTTCATTAATTCAATAATTCACCCATCCCTCCATCTGCATACTGGTGAGCAGATAATGATTAGATTTTCATTTTTCTGTGAACTATCCCTTTCAGTACAGTACATTAGCCTGTATGCTCTGACTTATTACATTAGCTAGTAGCTCATGCGTGTACATTAGCAAGACACAAGTTAACTATATATTTTTTATCTTTTGGATAATTAGCTGCAAACTGGAGGCACGTAGCTTAGTCTTTAGTTCATCACCACTCACCTCCACACAAGAGAAGAAAAACCACCACAACTGCGACAGGAGGTGGGAGGTGCTGCCTGTCTGACATCAGTGTGATGACTGTTCTCACCACTGTGCAGGAGACGTGGAGAGAGGGAGGGTAGAGACTGAAAACAATAATAATTATAATGTCTTAGTTTAATGTCCTTTCAATGTATTTTGGGCATTTTTTTCACAACAACCTTAAAAAGCATGCTAATGTAACATCATTATTGATCATTATATTGCACATGCATGATGCACTTGATTTAACTAGCGTATAGCAGAGAAGTTACTGAACCTTAACTGCTCCTCCAATAACAATGCATCCTGGGTTGCCTATAGACCCTTGCTACTGGCCTGAAGCAGTGTGCTTTTGATTTCTACATGAAATAATGCAGAGCATCCAAGCTTTGCAGTTTCCATCAGATAAATGGCAAATGTCATTGTGCTGTACCATTATTGTGATTCACCTGCATTAGCGTGGACGTTATTTGGACATTATACGTTTGTCACTTTAGTGACTGCAAGCAGTAGCATTGGTTTAATATCTCAACAATGTTATTACAACGACATCCCTGGCAAAATGTTTTCTATTTACATCGACAATGGGGTTGAAATGAGCGGATGTTTCGATTTTTATAATTTAATCAATATATTTGTTTGTTTGTCTGAGCACCCCAGAAAAGGGCAGGGGCTAAGGCCCCCCTTCAATGTCTGTGTGCACATGCCAGGCACTGGATGTCCCTCAAGCCAAGGAGGCTCGTTTATCATGAACCTTGTACTAAAAGAGTTTCTCCTAGACATCACCTTGTCCCTTCCTCCTGTGAGAGGAGATGTCTTCTTTCCTTTTCAAATCAAACATCAAATTCAAACCAAACGCACCTATAGTGACCTAAATGCATTCTGCGTTCTGTAAATCACTACCTTTCTTTTTGTATTTAAAGGTTAATTAAGGTTTACACATGATACTTATCTGCCTTCATTTTAGTTCAAATACCCTGTGAATGATCTTTAGCTGCAGTGACATGAATGTATAACATGTCAGAGGGAGCTTCCATGGGTGTTGTGTTGCAAAAGAAAATTGAGGAGAGGAGGTTTCCTCTGACTGAGCCCAGCTGCGTCCTGACTGCGATGCCTTCACGTTCTGTTCCACCAAACAGGAAAACACAGAACAGCAATGGGACAAGCAAAGAGTGGGGGTTTTCTTTCTCAATGGAATCACCATTTACTGTAGGAGACTTCAGCCTTTCTTTTACAAAATAAAAGCTTATGCACTGTACTCAAATACATAGTTTGATCTACAGAGAACAGATTGAAAGTGAACTTGATGCTGATTTGTCTGAACCAGTCATTTTGGTGTTTACAGTTTATCTCAACACTATCTTTCTACCAGGACACTTTGATGCATCTCCTATTGAGCTTAAAGTTGTCTTCATATTCATCTGGGGTCTTAAATCCCCAACATGACAATCATACAACATGTTCACTTTCCAGCACATCATAATCCATCTGCCCAGGATAGAGGGATCACCAGGTCAGCAGCTACCAGGCCCAGGGGCCACATATCAATGTTCTCATTAAAGGGTATATGTAGAATCCCCTCACATGCTCTGTAGCAAGTGGTTAATATCTTTGACTTCAAGTGGCAGCTGCTGTTGCTCCATAAGCGTAATGTTGTCAGCTTTGGGTTCTGCAAAGAATCCCATTAAGCTCAGATGGGACAGTGGCCAAGTGATATATATATATATATATATATCATCTATATATCATGTATATATCATGTATATTCTCAGCTCTGACACAAAATGCTGGTGGTGATTGTTTATGTCCTCCACATGGAGCAGGTTTGGGGGAAAAAACCCAAACCTGTGATTAGTACACCCTAATATGCATAATGCACAATAAATCAATCACAATCAGACAACAACAGTCTGTCATACACTACATTTCTGACTTGTATTGTCACTATGATAGACACATATAAATCAGAATTAAAACAATCTAACAAGTATAATAACTGTAATACAACAGAAACAGATATTTAAAAAAAGGTTAAAAGAGGCTGCTGGAGTAATATAAAAAGATAGACGTTTACTGCGTGGTCCTCAGTATTATCCGTCATTAGTTGGTTATGCATCCAGCCAACCACACTCTTCAGGAACACCTCCTCCAGTCAGTGATGGATGGGGTAACTGTCTCTCACCTCAGCTGGGGCCCACACCATAGTTCTTCATATTGTCATTTCTAGGTCTCCCAGTGTGTCTTATGTAGGCCAAGATGGAGGAAGGGAAATATAGAGAAGGAAAGGATATTCATTATTTTTTCCACTTTCTTATACTTAAGTCATATTTTCACAATTTCCCTCTGTCGACCAGTACAAATTGGTATGTGATGATGGTCCACCGCTTCACTTGTGCATTGGATGCCCCTCAGAATAGAGTGTTTACTTCTACTAAGCCATCAGGCTGAACTTCTCCCTCAGCCAGTTTTGTACAATTAGACAACATTCACACTCTTCATGCGTATTTGTGTGGGTTTGTGTGTGTGTGTGCGCATCTGTTGGGGCTGCAGGACTCTTAATCTGGATTACCAAGCAGCGCACGGCCATGCTTTTCATAATCAGTTGTGGTGAGCTGTGATTCTCGGCAGCGCATGACACATCTGGATGCAGGCAGCCGGTTCAGGAGAGGTGTGTGTGTGTGTCTGTGTGTGTGTGTGACGTGAGAGAGAGAAAGAGAGGGGGGAAGAGAGCGTCAAAACCACTCCACTGCTGGAGCGCACAGATGGAGAGGAGACGTGCAGAAAACCATGCGCACAGAACATGTTTCGGGTAAGTAAACACACTTCCCCTTATGATTTACAAAGCGTTGTTGGCACGGCTGTGGAGATTTCGTCCAGATGACTCACTATGTACTTTAACTACCGCTCTCATCCACTGTCACATCTGCATGTCTCACTTTGTTCTGTACAGGTGACTCGTCGTGGAGAGAGGAAGGTGCTTGTATTATTTGCTGTCATGGATGCACATGCTGCATTGTGTGAATTAATAATAATAATGTGAGCTCATTGTTTTGTCATGAGCTCACATACTTTTGAGAGGTGCAGCACTAAGTGGCTGTCAGTGCCTGTCTGATCACATCACATCATGTTGATGTAATTCTGTGACTTCCACTACAGTCTAATTATAATTTCATCTGTTGCTTTCTTGATTATTCCGGCAAACAAATTGTTTTGAAAATGCCCTGAATTTGTCAGTTTCATAGTGTCAGAGCCCCACATGTGACATAATTTAGATGCTTATTTTAATAAACCAACTTTAAAAATTCAAAAAAATTTAAATTCAGCATTAAGGAGCAAATCCTACCTTTTTGAGAATTTGCAATCAAGCAATGTTTGACACCTCATCAGTTATATAATGTAATTTGTAGGATATATGAGTGCAAATATTGCACATTCTAATTATTGTTTAAATCTTAAATGTTAATATTTAGATGGACTTATTTTGGTTTATGTTAAATTATATTATACTGTATAAATATACTGGAATATCTAATGCCCACTTACCCAATATCCTATGTAGTTAGTTGCTACATTTAAAAAGTTGCAAATGTGGATTGTTTAATTTTACAGCCCACATATCCTCAACTACTTTGCAATTACTATGACAAAAAAGATTTTTTCAGAACATTCATTTTTAATTTGTCACTCATATTCTCTTATATATACTGTCATTGTCCCTCAAAAATACAAAACTGTATTCATTTTATACATGTGACCCAATCTCAAAACCAAA